AACTCTTAGGGGAACCAAATTAACTCTTTTCCTGAAAGTGTTGCCTTTATCTTGATTTAGTGGGACATTTGCACTAGCATAGAGGTTTTCAAACTCTGAGTTGGGACCCCAAAGTGGGTTGCAACCCCGTTTTAATGGGGTCTCCAGGGCTGGCATTAGACTTGCTGGGGCCCAGAGCAAAAACACAAGCCCCACTGCTCAGGGCCAAAGCATGAAGGCTTCAGCCCTTGGCAGCAGGCTCAGGCTTCAGCCCTGGGTGGCGGGGCTCAGGTTACAGGTGCCACGCCTGTGCCTGAAGCCCTTAGGCAGGGGTTCTCAAAATTTTTTTGCTGAGACCCCCCTTTGAAAATATTTCAGGCTGTGCTGACCCCCCCTCCATACCAGGCCACCTGGACTTCTGTGCTGCTGCGAGTGGCGGCGCTACCTTCAGAGCTTGGCACCCAGCCACCAGCCGTAGCGCTGTGACCCCCCCACCCCCACAATGGTCTTGCGACCCCCTTTTGAGTCGGGACCCCCAGTTTGAGAAACGCTGCCCTTGGGCTGCGTCTTAGGTCCCCCTGCCTGGGGCAGTAGGGCTCGGGCTTAGGCTTCGGTCCCCCCTCCTGGGGTCATGTAGTAATTTTTGTTGTCAGAAGGGGGTTGCAGTGCAATGAAGATTGAGAACTGCTGCACTAGTATATGTTATTATTACTTTTATTATTTGTATTACCATAGTGGCTAGGATCCCTAATCATGGACCAGGACCCCATTGTGCTAGGTGCTGTACAAACACAGAACAAAAAGATTGTCCCTGCACCAAAGAGCTCACAGTCTAAGGAAAGGTTTAATCTGCATTATGACCAGGCATTTGGAAAGCTGAGACGCCCGCTTAATCTACAAAAACATGCTTGTTTCACTGTTAACTCCTTCCCCGTACTGTTCTGTTTTGTCCATCTATTCTGTCTCTTGTGATTGTGAGGTTGTTGGGGCAGTGACTATCATTTTTTTCTATTACTTGGTTTTGCAGTGCCCAGCGCAGTGGGGTCTGGATCCATGCGTGGAGCCCCGAGGTGCTACCACAATGCAAATAACTAATAACACTGATTATTCTGCCTCCTTTGTTCTTTGCTGAGGGTTGAAAATGAAGGTAGATATTAAGCCAAATTAATTCCTCATATAAGTCCACTGACTGCAATTTTAGCCCATTTAGGTTTTATAAACCCTCATGAAAGCTTATGGTCAAATAAATTGGTGAGTCTCTAAGGTGCCACAAGTCCTCCTTTTCTTTTTGCAAATATTTCATAGTGTTCACTTCCTAAAATATAATAATTTTTTCTTCTTTAAAGCTAAAAACACAAAAAAAGTCTTTATAAAAGCAAACTAAGGAGAAAAGACCACACACCAGGAATAATCTGATCACTTATTCAATGTTTGGCTACGCTTCTTTCATCTACAATGCAAATGATCTCTGGAGATGTTTGCCACCATGGCTTCATGTGCCATCTCTTCAGGGTGAGGTGCATATAGATACAAGTCCCTGTGTTTTTCGTTTTTCTTGTATTCCAAAAGGAAAGGGAATTCAATTCATTATAGGCTTTTACTTCTCATAGTGGATTTTCTGTCACTATTGTTTCCTCTATTTTCTAATACATTATTATAATTCAGTCTTCTAAGAAAGTGGTGCTAACTGTTTTCTACTTGAATAGCAAAGTGGGTGACAGCAAGAGGAAGACAACAGATATTGAAAGGTCACGGAACTTGATTTGGTCTTTTATGGAAGTGGTGATTAACTGGTCCTAGTGTCATTGTTATGGTCGAAGAAAACTGTATCTCAGCTTGAGATTTCCCTGTTTTCTCACTTCTGCAGACACTTTAAATGATCTTTAAAAAAAAAATTCCTCGTTCAGTAGAAATGTTTTGACACTCTCTGAAGCTCAATGGTGTCTCTTTCAAACTGGTTTTTAGCCATGCAAATGAAATTAAAAGTGAATAGTTTCTATAATGTTATAGGCTGGCTTAAATAAATGCACACAAAAGAAACAGGTACATCTAAATTATTGTCTTTAGTAGTTTTCACAAGTCAAGAAAAGACATCAAAATCACCATCATGTTTCCATGAGGGATGATTTGAAAGAAAATGAGAGAGTCTTAATTACATCATAGCTGACCCAAATTATTAATCTAGCTAGTTAAAACATTAGCATTTTAATAGGGTATGATATAGTTAACATACTGTGATTGATTGATTCCAGTGAGATGTTCTGTTTCATTCATTGCCATGTACGCAGGTTATGAAATTCTTCCCATACAATGAGTAAATAAAAGCCTGCACATGAGGACTCAGATGTGAATGATAAAAGTGGTTAGACCTGATTTTAAAATCTACTGAACAGCTAAAAATTCACAGCACAAAATCTCCTTAGATTCCCATCCCACTGGCAAATAACTGATTCTAGTCTTGAATGGAGACTAAGGGTATGTCTACACGACGAAATTAGGTCAAATTTATAGAAGTCAGTTTTGTAGAAAGTGTTTTTATACAGTCAATTTTGTGTGTCCTCACACAAATGCTCTAAGTGCATGTAGTCGGCGGAGAGTGTCCACAGTACCAAGGCAACCGTCGACTTCCGGAGCATTGCACTGTGGGTGGCTATCCCACAGTTCCCGCAGTCTCCGCTGCCCATTTGAATTCTGGGTAGAAATCCCAGTGCCTGATGGGGCTAAAACATTGTCGTGGGTGGTTCTGGGTACATATCATCAGACCCCCGTTCCCTCCCTCCCTCCGTGAAAGCAAGGGCAGACAATCGTTTTGCACCTCTTTTCCTGAGTTACCTATGCAGACGCCATACCACAGCAAGCATGGAGCCCACTCAGCTCACTGTCACCATATGTCTCCTGGGTGCTGGCAGACGTGGTACTGCATTGCTACACAGCAGCAGCAACCCTTTGCCTTGTGGCAGCAGACAGTACAATAGGCCTGAAAACCATCCTCATCATGTCCAAGGTGCTCCTGGCCACCTCGGTAAGGTCGGTCAGGAGCGCCTGGGCAGATATGGGTGCAGGGACTAAATTAGAAGTGACTCGACCAGGTCATTCTCTTTAGTCCTGCAGGCAGTCCTATTGTACCATCTTCTGCCGGGCAGGCAGGAGATGAGGATGGCAAGCAGTCCTATTGCACCGTCTGCTGCCAGCCAAATATGTAAAAGATAGATGGAGTGGATCAAAACAAGAAATAGACCAGATTTGTTTTGTATTCATTTGCTCCCCCCTCCCTCCCTCCCTCTGTGAAGTCCTGCCTGAAATACCAGAGGGAGGGATAGCTTAGTGGGATGAGCATTGGCCTGCTAAACCCAGGAGTTTGAGTTCAATCCTTGAGCGGGCCATTCTGTGTGACAGTTGTTTTTGTTTCTCCTTGATGTAAAGCCACCTCCTTTGTTGATTTTAATTTCCTGTAAGCCAACCCTGTAAGCCATGTCATCAGTCGCCCCTCCCTCCATCAGAGCAATGGCAGACAATCGTTCCGTGCCTTTTTTCTGTGCGGACGCCAAACCACGGCAAGCATGAAGCCCGCTCAGATCACTTTGGCAATTAGGAGCACATTAAACACCACGCGCATTATTCAGCAGTATATGCAGTACCAGAACCTGGCAAAGCGAAACCGGGCGAATAGGCGATGTCAGCGCGGTGATGAGAGTGATGAGGACATGGACACAGACTTCTCTCAAAGCATGGGCCCTGGCAATGCAGGCATCATGGTGCTAATGGGGCAGGTTCATGCTGTGGAATGCTGATTCTGGGCCCAGGAAACAAGCACAGACTGGTGGGACCACACAGTTTTGCAGGTCTGGGACGATTCCTAGTGGCTGTGAAACTTTCGCATGCGTAAGGGCACTTTCATGGAGCTTTGTGACTTTCTTTCCCCTGCCCTGAAGTGCAAGAATACCAAGATGAGAGCAGCCCTCACAGTTGAGAAGCGAGTGGCAATAGCCCTGTGGAAGCTTGCAACACCAGACAGCTACCGGTCAGTCGGGAATCAATTTGGAGTGGGCAAATCTACTATAGGGGCTGCTGTGATGCAAGTAGCCAACGCAATCAAAGATCTGCTGATATCAAGGGTAGTGACCCTGGGAAATATGCAGGTCATAGTGGATGGCTTTACCGCAATGGGATTCCCTAACTATAGTGGGGCCATAGACGGAACCCATATCCCTATCTTGGCACTGGAGCACCAAGCCGGCGAGTACATAAACCACAAGGGGTACTTTTCAATAGTGCAGCAAGCACTGGTGGATCACAAGGGACATTTCACCAACATCAACGTGGGATGGCCGGGAAAGGTACATGACGCTCGCATCTTCAGGAACTCTGGTCTGTTTCAAAAGCTGCAGGAAGGGACTTTATTCCCAGACCAGAAAATAACTGTTGGGGATGTTGAAATGCCTATAGTTATCCTTGGGGACCCAGCCTACCCCTTAATGCCCTGGCTCATGAAGCCGTACACAGACAGCCTGGACAGTAGTCAGGAGCTGTTCAACTACAGGCTGAGCAAGTGCAGAATGTGCATTTGGACGTTTAAAGGTGTGCTGGCGCAGTTTACTGACTCAGTTAGACCTCAGCGAAACCAATATTCCCACTGTTATTACTGCTTGCTGTGCGCTCCACAATATCTCTGAGAGTAAGGGGGAGACATTTATGGCGGGGTGGGAGGTTGAGGCAAATCACCTGGCTGCTGGTTATGCGCAGCCAGACACCAGGGCGGTTAGAAGAGTACAGGAGGGCGCAGTGCGCATCAGAGAAGCTTTGAAAACCAGTTTCATGACTGGCCAGGCTACGGTGTGAAAGTTCTGTTTGTTTCTCCTTGATGAACCCCCCGCCCCTTGGTTCACTCTACTTCCCTGTAAGCTAACCACCCTCCCCTCCTCCCTTCGATCACCGCTTGCAGAGGCAATAAAGTCATTGTTGCTTCGCATTCATGCATTCTTTATTTATTCATCACACAAATAGCGGGGATAACTGCCAAGGTAGCCCGGGAGGGGTGGTGGAGGAGAGAAGCACTGGGAGGGGTGGTGGAGGAGGGAAGGACAAGGCCACACAGCACTTTAAAAGTTTAAAACTTTAAAACTTATTGAATGCCAGCCTTCTGTTGCTTGGGCAATCCTCTGGTGTGGAGTGGCTGGGTGGCCGGAAGCCCCCCCCACTGCGTTCTTGGGCGTCTGGGTGAGGAGGCTATGGAACTTGGGGAGGAGGGCGGTTGGTTACACAAGGGCTGTAGCAGCGGTCTGTGCTCCTGCTGCCTTTCCTGCAGCTCAACCATACGCTGGAGCATATTGGTTTGATCCTCAGCAGCCTCAGCACTGAATCCTGCCTCCTCTCATCACGCTGCCACCACCTTTCAGCTTCAGCCCTCTCCTCAGCCCGCCACCTCTCCTCCCGGTCATTTTGTGCTTTTCTGCACTCTGACATTGTCTGCCTCCACGCATTCGTCTGTGCTTTGTCAGTGTGGGAGGACAGCAGGAGCTCAGAGAACATTTCATCACAAGTGCGTTTTTTTCGCCTTCTAATCTTCACTAGTCTCTGGGAAGGAGAAGATCCTGTGATCCTTGAAACACATGCAGCTGGTGGAGAAAAAAAGGGGACGGTGGTATTTAAAAAGACACATTTTATAGAACAATGGGTACACTCTTTCACGGTAAACCTTGCTGTTAACATTACATACATAGCACATGTGCTTTCGTTCCAAGGTCGCATTTTGCCTCCCTCGTCCCCGTGGCTAACAGCGGGAAACATTTCTGATCAGCCACAGGCAAACAGCCCAGCAGGAACGGGCACCTCTGAATGTCCCCTGAAGAAAAGCACCCTATTTCAACCAGGTGACCATGAATGATATCACTTTCCTGAGGATAACACAGAGAGATAAAGAACGGATGTTGTTTGAATGCCAGCAAACATACACTGCAATGCTTTGTTCTACAGTGATTCCCGAGTACGTGTTACTGGCCTGGAGTGGTAAAGTGTCCTACCATGAAGGACGAAATAAGGCTGCCCTCCCCAGAAACCTTTTGCAAAGGCTTTGGGAGTACATCCAGGAGAGCTGCAAATGCCAGGGCAAATGAATCATTAACCATGCTTGCTTTTAAACCATGTATTGTATTTTAAAAGGTACACTCACCGGAGGTCCCTTCTCTGCCTGGCAGGTACGGGAGGCATCCTTGGGTGGGTTTGGGGGGTACTGGCTCCAGGTCCAGGGTGAGAAACAGTTCCTGGCTGTCGCGAAAACCGGTTTCTCCACTTGCTTGCTGTGAGCTATCTACAACCTCATCATCATCATCATCATCTTCCTCGTCCCCAAAACCTGATTCCGTGTTGCCTCCATCTCCATTGAAGGAGTCAATCAACACGGCTGGGGTAGTGGTGGTTGAACCCCCTAAAATGGCATGCAGCTCATCATAGAAGCGGCATGTCTGGGGCTCTGATCCGGAGCCGCTGTTTGCCTCTCTTGTTTTCTGGTGGCTTTCCTCAGCTCATTAAGTTTCAGGCGGCACTGCTTCGGGTCCCTGTTATGGCCTCTGTCCTTCATGCCCTGGGAGATTTTGACAAATGTTTTGGCATTTCAAAAACTGGAACGGAGTTCTGATAGCACGGATTCCTCTCCCCATACAGCGATCAGATCCCGTACCTCCTGTTCGGTCCATGCTGGAGCTCTTTTGCGAATCTGGGACTCCATCATGGTCACCTCTGCTGATGAGCTCTGCATGGTCACCTCTGCTGATGAGCTCTGCACTCACCTGCAGCTTGCCACGCTGGCCAAACAGGAAATTGAAATTCAAAAGTTTGTGGGCCTTTTCCTGTCTACCTGGCCAGTGCATCTGAGTTGAGAGTGCTGTCCAGAGCGGTCACAATGGAGCACTCTGGGATAGCTCCCTGAGGCCAATACCATCTAATTGCGTCCACAATACCCCAAATTCGACCCAGCGAGGCCGATTTCAGCGCTAATCCCCTTGTCGGGGGTGAAGTAAGGAAATCGATTTGAAGAGCCCTTTAAGTAAAAAAAAAGGGCTTCGTCGTGTGGACGGGTACAGGGTTAAATCAATTTAATGCTGCTAAATTCGACCTCAACTCCTAGTGTAGACCAGGGCTAAGAAATAAGCCTATACATTATACAACACAATGAAATGCAAGTGTTGAGAATATTGATAAAAAGGGATTTTAGGTGAGCTCCATTTCTATTTTATATGCTCAATGGAGAGAATTAGTGTTATTAATGAGGTTGTCAAAAGCACTGTATACAATATCACACTCCTCCCATTGCTTATATGAAGTAGAGTGGAGCGCAAGAGGACATAAAAAGGTTATTTGAGGCAGGAGGAAAAGGGAAGGGTCAACATTTTAATAGGAAACCTGCTGTAACATGTTACCATCCTTTATACACATACCTGGTAACTGCATGGTGCTCAAAGCTCTGTCGATTCAGGCAGAAGACAATGCAGCTTTTAGTAAATTATTGGAACAGACTCTCTGAATTAATTATTTTTAAAATTGGGCAATTAGTATTTAATTTCAAATGATCAGAGAATCCACTCAAGCTCTTCAGCAGTGCCATATTTTGAGCAGTATAGCTGAATGGGACTGAGTTACTGTTGAATGAATATTAAATGTTTTGGTATTTTTCCACCGACATCAAGGTAGTAGAAAACGCACTGAAAATGGCCTAAATGACTTTTGACCAGCTTTCAGTTGCTTGGAAGCCAGCCAGCCCAAGGTCATCAGGGAGTTATAGCGTACGGAATAGGCTCTTTTAAAAAGACATGAAAATACTAATATGAAGAATAACAGAGTTTTGCAGCCAGGTGGAATCTCAAGGCTGCTTTCCATGCACAGTTCACACAGCGGGAGGAGTGCACAGGATCATTTTCATCAGTACTTTTTGTTCATCATTTTAACTCCTGTTTAGCTCATAATTAGGGTGACCAGATGTCCTGTTTTTAAAGGACAGTCCTGTTTTTGGGGACTTTTTCTTATATAGGCACCTATTACCTCCCTGTCCTGTTTTTCACAGTTGCTCTCTGGTAACCCTACTCATAATAGTGAATGAAATAACTGCATTTCCCACTTACGTAGTGCTTTTCATGTGAGGTTCTCAAAGCATTTCTTTTACAGATGTCCAAACTGAATCACACAGAGGATAAATGACTTGCCCAGCACTTAGGTATTGCAGCTATGGATGTAATAGAAAATCCTAAGGTAAAAAGATAACTAAGATAGGTCATGCTGCAAAATAGTTTCAGTCAAGAACAGAACACAGGTCACAAGACCCTCAGATCTCCTGACTCAGCCGCGAGTTCAACTAGATCAGAGTGGTTGAGACAGGAAAGATGCAATTATTTGTTTATGCACAATGGGCCAAATCTTGAACTTCTGTCAATACTGATCAGTGCTCAGATCTCACAGGGCACAATCTGTCTTTTAACCCCAGATCCACATGGGTGACAAAATAATTAATATGCCAAAACACTCCCCAATGAGGGATGTTTATTGAGCCTCACCAAAGAAGGTAGGAAAGCCCTTTAAAAAAAAAAAAAAAGCAAGGTGACTACTCAGAATACTTTCAGTGATGTTAAAGAATAATGTTGGTATATTCAGACTCATCTAGATTCCTTACTGGTTCAAAACATTATCTCAAATGAGCGTAAACCCTTTGAATGGATACACAGTAATAGAAATGCAAGCATGGAAAGTAGATGGATCATTTAAAAAAACCATGCCAATAAACAAAGAAAAATAGACTTAGCCAAAGATTATTGCAACCAAGTTGCAACTGCAATGTCCCGAGATCCTAACCAAGACTTTCATAGTTGAGCCTCAAACCTCAAATGGAGGTGCTCCAATTACACAAGAAATATCACTTTGGATGGGCTATTACCAGCAGGAGAGTGAGTTTGTGTGTGGGGGGGCGGAGGGTGAGAAAACCTGGATTTGTGCTGGAAATGGCCCAACTTGATTATCATACACATTGTAAGGAGAGTGATCACTTTAGATAAGCTATTACCAGCAGGAGAGTGGGGTGGGAGGAGGTATTGTTTCATGGGCTCTGTGTATATAATGTCTTCTGCAGTTTCCACAGTATGCATCCGATGAAGTGAGCTGTAGCTCACGAAAGCTTATGCTCAAATAAATTGGTTAGTCTCTAAGGTGCCACAAGTCCTCCTTTTCTTTTTACAAGAAATATTAGTTGTGAGAAAAGGAAATCGTCAGAGGCTGGATACGAAAAAACACACAACTGAGCTCTGACCCTGGAAAAGAGAAGCAGACAGACTTCCCATGACAGACTGAAAGGCTGAGCAAAAATATAGCTAAGCTGTGGGTATTTTTATGATGTAAAAATTCTCATTTCTCTTAAGCCATATTTTGGATTTCAGAGTAAAGCCAGCCACCTCGGTTTTCACATAATTTAGACAAGCTTTGTTTACATTTGACTTACCTTTATTATAGCTTTTGCTTTATTTTCACTCACGTGCCAAATACATTTTGATATTTAAGATGTGTGAAATTGGGAGCTGGGATAAGCATAGGGAGAGCCATTAGAGCTAAGGGTCTGGATTTTCTAGCCTGCCTAATTGGAGCTCAGGTGTAGAAGAGTGACTTGATCTTGTGTCACCTGGCCCCAGGGTAAATTAGAGTTGCTAAGGAACAGCAGTAACTTATGCCACTGATGTAAGGTCCCTCAATGACACTATGCCAGTGTAGGATTCAGCATAGCAGAGCTCTAATCCACCATGCAACTCCCCACCCCTGGTTCCCAGCCCTTCCACTTTCTCCCTTCCACTTTTCTCCCTACACTCCCTATGGCAGTGGTAGCTGATGTAGGAACTGCCCTGGAAAGGGGGCCTTTTTTGCTCACCATTCCAGGCCAGTTTAAGACCACTCACTGCAAAATGAATTTAGTGGATGGCAGTTTCTGGCTCAAGCAATGTGAAGTGTGGTTATACTCAGTGGAATAAAAATGTGTCCAAGTTATGTCCAAGCTATGTCAACTAGTGGTCATGAAAGAGGGTTTAGGCCAGCAAAGCTCCTAAGCACATGCTTAACTTTAAGCATGTGATTAAGTCCCACTAAAATCAAGGGATTTACGTCCCCACATTTCCAAGAAACACAAGAGGAGGCCTATTCAAAGGCCAGCCCCAGTTAATGGGTTATAAAGTGTAAACTTGTAGATTTTTAGATCTGAAGTCTTGCCATTTCCAGACTGATAATCAGTTGCATGCAGTGATGAGCTACCAAAATCTTAACAACTGGTTCCCTCCTCACCCCACGAAGGGGTCATGGCCCACCCCCGCCTCCTGGGACTCCTGCCCCATCCAACCCCCCGTGTTCCTTGACACCACCCTCACCCGGGACCCCTGCCAAATCTACCCCATCCCCTGACTGCCCCAGAAACAGGCAGAAGGGTCTCGTGGGCCACTGTAGTGGGTGCCCACCCCACCCCTAAGAGCCAGAGGATCCTGCCAAGGGGCAAGGTGAGGAGTCCTGGCAGTGCTTACCTGGGGCAGCTCCTGGGAAGCATACAGCAGGTCCCTCTGGCTCCTAGGGGCGGGGAAGCATAGCTACAGAGGAAGCAGGGGGAGCAGCCGCTTCCCCCACTGATCACATCAAAAGTGGCGCCTTAGTTGCCAACTCCGTGGGTGCTCTGGGGCTGGAGCACCCACAGGGAAAATTTGGTGGGTGCAGAGCACCCACTGGCAGCTACCCGCCCCGCACCCGGCCCCACCTCTCCTCCTCTCCGCCTCCGCCTCCTCCCCTGAATGCGCCGTCCCGCTCTGCTTCTCCACCCCCTCCCCCAGCTTCCCGCGAATCAGCTGTTCGCGCGAGAAGCCGGGGAGGGCTGAGAAGCAGGTGGCGGCTTCGTGCTCAGGCCCAGGGAGGCAGAGGTGAGCTGGGGTGGGGATCGGTTCCCTTGCGCCTCCCCCCCCCCGGGGTTACCTGCTGCGGCGTGGACAGCCCTCCTCGCGCCCCCCCGCCCCAGCTCCCCTCCGCCTCCGCCTCCCTGGGCCTAAGCACGAAGCCGCCGCCTGCTTTTCAGCCCTCCCCGGCTTCCCATGCAAACAGCTGATTCGCGGGAAGCGGGGGGGGGGGGTGGTCTGAGAAGCAGAGCGGGGCAGCGCTTTCAGGGGGGGAGGCGGAGCGGAGGTGAGGTGAGCTGGGACCAGCATGGGACGGAGAGCTACTGGTGGGTGCTCTGCACCCACCAAATTTTCCCCGTGGGTGCTCCAGCCCCGGAGCACCTTTTAGAACCATTTCTCCCTCGCAGGACAACCGGTTCTAAAAGGGCTTCTACATTTAACAACCGGTTCTAGTGAACCGGTGCGAACCGGCTCCAGCTCACCACTGGTTGCATGTATTGAAAAGGGATTGCCTACATTCCAGCATACCAGTAATTATAATGTGCTTCTGAAATAATTGTTTAACTAAATTTGTTGTTTTAAGTCACTTAGAATGTATATGTATATTCCAGAGTGGCTTCAGTGTAAAGCATATTGCTCTGTATAGAGTGGTGAGCCAGTCATCGGTACAGATCTCCCCTTAACATATTTCTTTTTTGTAATGTGGTGCCCAGAACTGAATACAATATTCTGTGTGCAGATGCACCACAGCTGTGTAGAGAGTGACTACTAAAGTATCGCCCTATGCTGTTACATAATGCTTTGCCAAAAGTTATATTGACCTTTTTATTGTCAGATTGTGTCACAAGCTCATGCCTTCGTCTTTTTCAGTGGTTTGGCCAGATTTTTCCTCCCATTAAACATCTGTGTTTCAGATTATTTCCCGCAGATATTTTAGACTTCATTTTTCAACTGGGTTTCACTTTGTTATTTTTATTTTTCTATCCATATGTCTAGCCTTTCTCTATCCTCACTGGTGTTTGCAGCATTTTCATCTGTGAAGCTCAATAAAGCAATGTGAAAACTATCAAAGGGAACCACCTGGGTTTAGGAATCTGACCCTGCACAGAACTAATGAGACTGGAGAGAAATGCCCTGTCAAGTCCCTGAAAGGTGAATGCAGACTCTGACTTTATTTGTGTTTATATTGTGAATTAGCTTTAGGGATAAAGTTTTAATCACAGTTCTTAATCAAATTGCCAGTGTAGAACATGGGAGAGGAAGGGGTTTTTTTACAACCTTACTTTCCCCCAAAATTGCAATTGGTAATTCAGATACTGTTCTTGCTTTTAATTTATGGAGTTTAGAAATGAATCCATTATGCATGGAATTTATTATTTATAATTAATCATTATAATATTGAGCACCACCAGTGTGCTTGTGCTATGCAAAGCAAGAGAGACAGCCCCTGCCCCCAGCGACTTGCAGTCTAAACCAGACAGGTACTTTGGACACAGAGAGCCACTTTTTCAAATGCGCATGTGCATTCCCTGGCTAGCTCACATTCGC